TGAAAAGAAATTCAACTTTATACATTTATGTATGTGAAGGTTAAAGAATTTTTTACTTTTAATTTAAAAAATTAAAAGTAAAAAATTCTTTAAACTTTTAATTTAAAATTTTCATCAACATTTTTTATATAATATGTACATTAGCCTAAATATGTATATGTTTATTTAATTTGAGATTTGTTGGGATTTTCGGAATAATTTGAAAAATTCTATATACAAATTATGAATTTGCATTGTAAAGGTATACATAACATAATTTAATAATTCAACATATTTTAACATAAATGTCGGAAATTAATTTTTTTCACAAAATTAATTATGGTTATAACAGATGGATTTTTACATAATATAAATAAATTTATTAATGTAATATAAGAATAACGGTATTCAATAACAAACAATGCATTAAAAAATAAAACCTTAAAAAATAAGACGTGAATGATTAAAAAATTTAAATTAAGTAAAATTGAAAATATTTTGAGTTCTTCAAATATGTGAACACATATACATATATACATACATATCATGTAATTTTGGAGATAATATCGAATATTTGAAGTTTGTTGAACTTTTATAATTTTTAATATAGAACAATTTTTGCTTGATTTTTCAATTGTTCCGCGGTCTCTTCAAAAAAAGAAAAATAATGGAAATAATTGATATTTATTAATTATTATATAAATTAGCAATGGTTGTTAACCTGTTTTACGTGGCGGTAACTCGAAATTCTATTTTAAAACATGAAGGCACACATTTAAATTTCTTACTCATATTATAGAAAAATTTTTTTTCAAAACATTGAAATGAATCATGCCGAATATTATTACGTAAAAGTAGATTTATAAACTCATATAAATATTTATTATTTAAATTAATTGTCATGCAGAAGGGTTATATAATATTACTTGCTTTATTTCACATAAAATGACCTTAGACCTATGTACGTATTTCATAGAACAGCACCTTTTTCAAGAAGCGTATAATATCTTGGTTGCGTATGTACTAGAGCATAAAATTTACTCTCAAGAAGAAAAAATATTAAAAACTTTTCTTAAATTAATAAATTTTTATTTTTTATGCGAAATTATTTTGCAAAGAAGAATTAATTAAATCAAATAACAACAAGAATCGTTATTTGGGTCAATATATAACAATTAATTTCAATTCTGCCCCATTTTTTGTCCAAAATAGCTAATTTACAAAAAAAAAAATTGATTTTAAATCAAATGAATTCAAATTGGTCTAATAACAAAAAATAACTTTAAATTTTAAATTAAGTAGCAAAAAACAAAAAAAATTAACCGGGAAATTAAAATTCTCAAGGAAGTTTTCATTTTAAATTTTCAAGAATACCAACTTTAATACGTTCAAAATATTTGACTTTTTACTTGAACTTTTTAATTGCAATAATAATTTTATATTTTTTTTTTTATTTCATCTTCTTCTACATATATTTAAAAATATGCTAATAATTTTATAAGTTAAAAAAAAAAAATTCAACTTATCAACTAATATTTTAAAAAAATAACAGCAAAAAATAAAAACATTTTCTGCTTCCTTGAAGTTAAACTTAAACCAAAGATTTTTATGTTGCCGGTAACCAATTGAATTTTTTGAAAACTCGAATGCAAATCTTATTCAAAATTGATTTCCAAAGGTCAGAAAACAAAAAAAAAAATTCTTCATTTAATTTGTTTTCTGTTTTAAGTTTTTATTTTTTTTTTTCTTATTTTTCATAATTCAAATCAAAAATTAATAATTTTTTGTTTTGTTTTTTTAATTTTATTTATAAATAAAAGTTCATTTAACTTTTAACTAATGATTGGCCATTAACTAATCACCTACATAATTTAAAATGTGCATATATGCATTAAATTAATTTAACAAAAAAAAATTATAAAAACGCAACCTTTAAAGCTTATAACGGTGGCGGTGTTTAATAAAATTTTTTACACAAATTTATAAGAAGGTTAAAATTGCGTTTGAAAGAGAAATTATATTCGGTTTCATCGACTTGATCAAATGAAAAATTCATATTGATTGAAAAGGTGACAAATTTTAACAGTGATATTTTTGTAATTTGTCTAGTATTTCTATGATTGCATTTCTAGTTTTCCCAGTTTGCATTCCAGTTTTTCATTTTTAATTTATACAACAATTATTAATATAATATAATATTATTTTTTATTTATAGCTAATTTCAGCAATTATAAGGATCATAATAAAATATTTGCTTGTGTGAAATTTTTGATATTACAGCTTCAATATACTTCTGAGATATAGCCAAACAATTTTTGGAGTTGTTGGGCAGGTACCCAAACCACTGCCTCGATGACATCCAATTTAATTAGGGTTCCGGCATTCACTATTATAAATCTTTTGTGAAAATTTGGTGAACTTAGTTAAATTAGTTATTGTTGAACGGACGAACATGGTTAAATCGACTTAAAATTCAACGTTGATCAAAAACATACACTTATGCCTATATCTCAAAACATTATTTCTGAACGTTACAAATGGCAAGGCAACTCTTCGAAAACACGTTCATATAGGTATAATAAATTTAGAAATTATACTTACAATATACGATAGAAAGGATTACATTGTGTAATATCAATAAAATAGGCTGATGTTTTCTTACAAAAAATTAGAATTTAATATAAAATTTACTTTATGGCCCCGCCTTAACATGGTTATAAACAGGGCGAAATCTAAATTAGGTTTCGTTTCGCTGACCCCTACTTTAGGAAGTTTCTTTATTTATCATATGTTACGCCCATAGTGTCAGGTTTAGGCTTACCGTTATGCTGATATTTTTAGAATCGAGTCTGTCTTGGGGATATAATAATTGATGCTTGGACTAAGCAATCTGACTGATATATAGAATAAGTTCCATTTTAATAAGATAAATTTTACATTCACTTATAAGTATTTTCAATTCGTGTTTTGTACTTACTATGAGTCCCAAGCTTTCTAGATCTTTTGATTATTTTATTTCTATAATATTTTTCCTGTTTTAGAAATCAAAATATATTCAAAAATTCAATAAGAAAATCTAGTATAAGAATAAAAATTATAAAAATATTCTAAATATTCCCATAATATTCTCATTATGAATTTAAAAAAAAAAAACAACTAGCTCTATTATTACTAAACTAATTAAAAATTTAATAAAGTTTAAGCTTTTTACTTACTGTTGGTATATGAAAACTATTTTATATAATTATTTTTCTTATTATTTTTATATTCACATACTTATTATTTTAATTATTTTTATATAGAATTGAAATAATCTTGGAACATACGTGATATTTAACATGGTTTACTTAAAAGTTCTATTTACATTTGACAAAGATTAATATTTCTTATTAGATGCGAACTCTATTATGATGAATAATGAGCTTAATGGTATATAAATCATGAATAATTATTACGTTCTATCAATTATTGAGCTTTTATAGAATTTTAATTCACAAAATCGGAAGTGATGACATAATTATTTCAATTTTTGTGAAGCACTGGGCTATTAAAAATTATTTTGATGAATTTGAGGATTAATTAAGCTCAAAATTATATTTTTTCCTAGCTGTATAGTATTTAAAGATAGCTCCAGGGTAATGTAGGTTGTGTATAAATTTCAGTTATAATATATTGTAGAAAGAATGAAAAAAATTCAATCAGCGGCACAAAAACTAAGAATCATAAAATGAAAATTTAGAATTCAATAGTGTCTACAATTTTGTAAAAGATTTTAATTTTTTTTTTATTTAAATATTTTTATGATTTCCATTTAAAAATAAAATTGTCTTAGAAGCTCATTTCCAAAAGTGAAAATTTATTAAACAAAAAATAAATTAAAACTGAAAATTATTTTATCTTAAAGAAATTTTCTCCCAAACGTATGCAATTTTATTTTTTATAAGACATACAGAGTAATATTCGCTCCACATTATCACTATCACATATTGTTATCATATAACAGCGAATTTAATTTTAAAAATTCTGCTATGAACGTGTGTGAATGCTTAATAATTTAAAAGCATAAAAGCTAAATGCATACAAATTTTTTTTAGCTACAGTAAAAAGCTATAATCAGCTATAAGTTATAACTTTATTAAAATTAACAGTGTAAAAATGAACCATTTTGTAATTTTCTTTTGTTGCAAAGCCATGTAACTCGGGAAAAAGCTATAAGATAAGTTTATTGATAAAAGCTTTGACGAGAAAATAAACTTGGAAAAAAAACTCCAAAAATGTAAAGTTTAAAGTTTAATAAGAAATTTAAAAATTTTATAATATACTCCATAGAGGTCTCGTCGAAAAGTTAAAAATTATAATTTTTTAAATTGTTTTATTTGTTACAATTAAAAATTGCGAATTCAAGATCTACCGAACCTATATCTAATATATGTTTCAGGACCTGTCAGTCTCATTTTAATTATCAAAGTAGTAATTATTGAACAACTTTCGTTCCTTTATACTGATACGAGAGAGTTGTAGAAAGCTGACTACACTTGAAAGCTGGCTATTTGTAAATTTATTACAGGTTCATTAGCCTCAGTTTTCAAAATTAAAATATTTGTATTGTAGTAATTCTAAATATTTTTTCAAAGAAATTTAGCTGTACATATTCTTTGAGTTGTAATTTTCTGTATAAGATGCAAAAATAAAATATAATTTTTTATCAAAATTTAATTACAAAAACAATTTGAAGTTTAATAAAATTTCAATTACAACATTTTCAAGAACATCAAAACTAAAAATTAATTTTTAGATTTAAAAAATTCATTGTATAAAAGAATTATGAAACAAACATGATTTATGATGATTTGTGAAATTAAAGCAAAAATAATAAAATTCGATTCTTAATAAAATTTTCTTAATTCTAAAAAATAGTTGATGAATAACGAATGACTATTAAATTATAATTAAAAATAAATTTAAAGCTTTACTAGAAATTAATTATAAAATTTCTGCTTGACAATATTTAGGATGAAAATATTTACATCTATATTACAAACTATAAATATATAAAATTAAGTGAGCCTATATGGACTATAGACTTATGTACATTAACAAAATTTAAGTCATAAAATCTTGTACTGGAAAATATCTAAAAGATTCATTAAAAATATCAGTAAATGCTGTACTAACAAGTTCATTAATTAATGGTTTAATAAATGGTAATCCTAATTGCCACATTGAATTAATAACTGTATCAGCAAAATTATTTAATCCATCTCGTTCTCTACCAAAAAAATTCGAAATATGTAATTCCATTCCACCAATTCTATCAACAACTACATTAACTTTTAAAATACTTCCGGGTCCACCAAGACGACGAATTGTTGTAGTTTGACTAAAATTATTCAATTTTTAAATAAAATTTTTTAATATTTATATATATAGGTGCCATTAAATTTACCTGTAATCTGATAAACTTAAATTCCATACACCATAATTTTTCATTGATCGACCAAACATTTTTCCATTAAATTCAAAATAACCATCTAATCCTTTGTCAGGGAAATATTGTGAATAAACAAATTTATTTTGATCTTCATTCATACGAAATTTTGTAACTTTAGAATTAGTCCAACCATATTCTGAAACATTACGTAAAATTAAAATAAAACCACCAAATCCATTACGATCACCACGTCTCGCTTGTACAAATGAACATTTATGTGGATCAAATGGTTTTATATTGTATTCAGGAATGCCTAAAATTAAATTAAAAAAAATTATTTATTTATTAATAATTATTATTGATATTAGGATTAAATATAATGAAACTTACCTGTTGGAAAGAAAATTCTTAAATCATTAAAAACATTTTTCATACAACTATTAAATGTTTCTGAGCGTAACCGACATCTTCCAAGTAAATTCGCTAATTGAGCAGTTCGTTCCGATTGTAATTCTTGTTTTTCTACTATTGGCTGTTCAGTTTCTTGACCATTCGTAATGAAATTCAGATTGATACAAACAAATATCAATATTAGATAAAAGTCCAGTTTTTCCATCGTTTTAAGGAATAATTAGAAGTTTTTAGAGTTCCTAAACAAAAATAAAAGTATTTTGAATTAATAAAATAATTTTTAAATTAAATTAATGAAATAAAATAAAATTGTAAAATGGAATAAACACGTAAATATTGATAAGCATTGGAAATTTATAAGTTTTGTCGAAAACTGTGGACTTATGATCTGTTATGAGGTGTGCGCTCGCAAATCTATCACACATATTTGGATTCCGGGCCATTAAAATATAGCGGGAAATGGACGGGCAAATAAGTTAACTGGCAGATGTGGTTCAGCCATGGATATTTCTGAAGAGGAACGAGGTTTTGTTTTCATTAACAGTGCCCGCAGGTGGTATACGGGGCCGGAAAAAAAAGTATTGCCAAAATAAAACCGTTGGAATCAATATAACGTATCGAAGCTGCGGCGGGGCAAATTCAAGAGGGAAACCCTTTTTCATTATCTCTTCAAGTGTTTGGAACTGAGTGGGGCCAAACTATAGTTATGTGAGGCAGAGCAAGCGTGAGAGTCGACGGGGCTGGGCTAGATATCGAAGATTGACGTCGAGGATAGATTCCGCAAAAGAATTGGTTGGGTTAAATAGCCACCTTAATTGTATGGTCAGCGATGATGTCGTGGTCACGGAGTGTTAGTAACAAAACGGCACATTCAGGACAAATCCATTAATATGCAATCGAATCTTTGGTTAGATATGCACTAACGTTTATAATTTGAACACAAATCCTAAACGATTTGGAAGTTTGAACTTAATGAACTGAAATTGTTTTCAAATAGTTTCTTTTGTTTAGATCTTAAAAAAATCTCTTCTATTTTCCTCATATGTCAACTAAAGTTTTGTAATAATTGAAAATCTTTGTTAAATAAATTAATTTCTAAAATGATTTTTAAAACAAAATTATTTTTAAAAAATCTTTGAAGTCGAAGAATAATAGAAATTTTGCCTACAGTCTTATACAAATTAAAATATACCCACATATTAAAGAAGAAAACAAAAAAATTTAAACCCATTAAAAACGAATTGTTATACTTAAAAATATTTTTTGTTTTGGTTGAATGCATTTTCGTTGAATGAAGCGTTAAAAAAACAAAAGTATTTTATATTATAAATTAGCACTAATTAGGTATGTAACGACAAAGGTATCAAAAAAACATTATAGAAGGCGTTTTACGAAATTGCTCTGAAATATTTAGACGAACTTTTTATTATACATTCATGGAAATGAATGTATTATATAGAATCTCTCTGTAAATAAGGAACGTTTTTTATCAAACATTTGGCAAGAAAGATTAATTGTGTGTTATACACCTTGGCCTATCTAATTCAATCGCTTAAGATACTTAAATACAATGTAAATAATGCCATTAAATTGTTTTTTTGTTAACATTTTAATGGTAATTAAATTATAACACCTCTATGATTTACCAGTATAGTGCGACCTTATCAAAATGAGATTCAAAACATTTATGGTAAAAGTATTAAACAAATTAGTACCATCAATGTTTAGTTGAAGTAAATTATGATAGTTTTTATATATTAAAATTTGTCTTATGCCGTCGATGGTAGTAATTAATGGCTCATTATTTTTGGCGGATTTGCTAAAAAATTTGCGATTTTTGTTACATTTAAAGACAGGCACGCAGATTTGTTAAAAGTATTTCTAGAGAATTTTATTGTGATTGTTTATTTTATAAAACCTGTTGGAATTCGACCTATAATCCACCCGTAACACATAATACCAATCGATTTAGTAAGCCTATATATATAATTGAAAGCACCAGAAAATTTATGAAAGCATGTATATTAAGCATTTAACACTTAAGCAAAAAACATATAGGAAGAGTTACAAATTTTAAAATTATATTTTGGAATTTCTTATTCAATACCAAAAAGAAAATTACATTCCGCTTGTGCAATCATATTATTATTAATACAAGTTACGAATTAATTAAAAATCTTGTGATTATCTTGTGATTTGGCTAATACAAGCATTAATTTTGTTTATTTTTAGTTTGTTACTTAAAAATATAAACACAAAACATACAAAATCAAAATTATGTTAAAAAATCATTTGATCTGTAACCAATTAAGTAGTATAAAAAAATTAATGCAAACTAAATTAAAAAATAAAATTGCATTTTTTGGAATAAATTTCTCTATTTGGATTTTATTAAATTTTACGAAACTAAAGAAAAATTCAAATCATATTAATTTCCAAGGTCACTCAATTTCTATATAAATATTATGTACATATATTAATACTAAATTTTGGTGTGTAATTTCGAAATAATTTATCCGCCAATTTGTGGTATTCATTATACTAAACAGTAGATTATATGCGTTATTTAAGTATTTAACCAAAATATGGTTCGGTTTGGTTAAAGACAATTTGAATTGAAAAAAATTTTAAAAGATTTACATAATTTAGTTGAGTATTAAGAACGAATAAAACACTCATATACTAATCTGAAATTATTTATTGTTTAATAAGATATTGGATAAAAAATTAATTTTGACTCTTCAATTAAAAAATCTTTGAAATTAAAAAAAATCTCTAACATCAATTATACACCGCATCAGGTTTTGAACACCCTGTATACAAGACTAAAAGTTTATTTATATAATCTGTAATATAAACGACATTTTAAAATTTTTTTTCGAAAGTACGAACCGACACAGTGAATGCGAATTATAATCTATCGGTACTAATTCTTAATAAATTTTATTCCATATTTTGAACTAATTGCATCATATCGAAAAATAGATTATTTTTATAACACTATTAATATTATAAAGCAACATTGTGTTGTCATAATAAAATTATTTTCTTCAATAATACCAAAAATTTTCCAAAAATTAAATATTTATTGTATTTTATTATTAAAATAATTAAAATATCAAAATGACAATAATTTAATTTAATTAAAAATAATTTAATTTTTAATGAAAAGTGGAAATTTAAATTGTATAACAAAACATAATAATGCAAGTAAATATTGCATAAGGTTTACGGAATATAAGGTCCGGAGTACAAAAGTGAAAAACATTAAAATTAAGTGTTATTTGCGTATAAAAAAAGTGAAATTAAGAATGCTGTAATTTTTGTCTATACAGAAAAATAATTTTATGATGATAAATTTTTATCATGAAATCTACTACTAGACTTTTGTTTTCAATTTGTGCAAGACTAAATGACTGACGTGACTTTAAACGCAAAAAATAGGGTACGGAAATCATTAAATAGGCACTATAAGTTGTATAGTAGTTTGGGAATTCACAAAAAAAAAACTTAGTATTAATAATTAAATTTTTTATAGTGAATTTGTAATTTTAAAATTATTGTACATAATATTTAATTGAATTTTTACAAATATTGAAAATTATAAGATTAGATTTTGAAATTATTCGAAAATATAGGATGCCGAGTTTTCAAATCAAGTTTTGAAAGAATGTAGAGTATTCGCAAAATAATATAATTTTAAAAATATAGGAACAGATATGCTATAAGACAAGATTAGGGTGCTTGTAATTACATTTTTAAGTTACACTATTTATAGGCTGTTATATTAAAATATAAAAACGTTTTTTAATACAAATAGTTGAAAATTCAAAAGCAATCCTCAGATTTTTCTAAATTTTTCTAAAATTCCAATTTTTTTTAAATTCAAGTTTTGTTCTGATTTTTATTATATTGAATAATTTTCATCAATGTCTCTTCTATTACCATTTTCAAATCAAAAACCGCAAAAATTTTACAGAAATAAAAGAAGTATAAAATAATTTTAATTTAACAATATTAATTGTAAATTCATTTTTTCAAATCTGTTGTTCCCATACCAATAAAACAAATTAAAAACAAAAATTTGAAATCTTTCACTTTAGAAATGTTAATTTTATTGCCGCACATACGCAAAATTTCCAACACATCAAAGATAGACTTAAAAAATAGAAATTATCAACAACAGTGATTGAACACTAATGGTTATATATCACATGGTCATAATTATTATTTTTGTTCATTAAATTGCATGAAATTTTAAATTGACCACTATGAGAAAAAACTATGAGAAAATTCATTACTTTTGATTTATTAAATGTAAAATAGGCACAGGTGTTGTACTCTTATATACAGGTGGAAAATTAATTTTAATATACAACTTTATAAATATTTAAAAAATACACAAGTATATAAGTATACTAAAATACTGCTTTATTTGATATTTTACTTAATTAACTTATACTTGAATTTTTTCTTATATTTTTTCGATTTTCTTCTTGTATATCAAATGATATCTGAAGTACAATTTCTTTGTTTATGCATTACAAAAATACTTTTTACATAAACACATGCATACGTACATACATACATAATATAAATAATCATAAAATTAATAAGAATAATTATTCTTATTCTTATATTTTTTTTTTTATTTCCACGTGACATGAACATTTAGCTTGAATAATCTTGACCTAAAAATATTCAATGAAAAGTTCTGAAGAGGCATGAAAAGAGTCCTAATATTAATATAAACAAAGGCAATTAATAAATTAATAATAAAATTACATAATTATACAAAGAGTATAAGAAACTCTGATAGAACCATAAAAATTTATTTTTAAATAAAATAATTAATTATAATGTTTAAATTTATTTAATTTCTACTTAATGACTAAATATTATTAATTATATATCAATGACTATTGTTACACTCTGAATTTTTCTTTTCAAAAGATTGCCCTAAAATACTTAGGGTAATGCGAACAAAGATTTTAAATGCAACGTGAAAAAAAACGTAAACAAAAGATTTAAGTGAGAAACTTTTTTTATTGAAAAATGAAAATATGAAAAAATGTAATTATTAGTTAGATCTAAAATGATCAGACAAAGTAACGAGATTGCGAATTAATTAAAGTTATTTAGATTTTAATTGAAAATTAAGAAATTATGTTCAAGAAAAAGTTATACTGTTAATTAATTTTTCGAAATTCTTTCAAAATTTCGAAAGTTGATTGAATCAAAGAAATTTTTTTATTATACGTTAATTTTTTCTGTAAAAGTAAAAATTCATTGGTTTTTTATAAATTTGTAATATTTCCTACTCAGGATGTTTCACAAATTTTTTTTTTTGGTTATAAAATATGCCATTGTAAAAAATAACTCACATATGTGAAAAATTCATATTCGAATGATTCACATTCTGATTTTATCTTATTCCACTGGGAATGTTTTAAAGGCATTTTAAAAAAGGAAATAAATTTAGGAAAGAATGAAAAAAAGGTTAAAATAACAAGGAAACTTTCAGTGATTAAGGAAATAATTTCCACACCCATATAAAATGGAATTGTTAAATAGTTTACAAGGACACCAGTACATTCCATATATTGCTTTTATATTCTAAATGATTTTTTTTACTTGCATGATAATATAAATATAAATCAATTGGAGTGGTTGCTTGGCGATTTATAAAAGGGTTTGGCCCTTGTACAATAATTCAAGAAAAAACATTTTAGTTAACTTTACTAAGGAAATTTAAAGAAAAGTCATATATGTATATTTAAACATAAATTCTTTGTAGCAATGAAAATAAAAACAATAATCAATATTGTTTGCATCAAAAGTACAATATTAAAAAAAAATGTTCATAACTCAATGCCGAAATTCATAATGGTATACACACACCCTTTTCTCGATCATAAGCCGTTTACTTCTGAGGCACAATTCATTTATTCGTTTTCGCAATTCCTTATTCGTTTTGCCTTAAATCAAAATTATTACGTCATTATTGAACTTTTTTAAAATTTCGAGTTTAATTACTTTATATATTAATTCAATTATTTTATAATTGAAAAATTGATATGTCTATTTAGGAAACCTAAATAAAACCTACACATATTTATAATACAAATACATACATTTCCTACCCGGAGAAAATACCTAAAATTACAATATTTAGATGAGTTCCAAGATGATTATTACTGGTTGAATAAACTCATAAGAGCATATTGTTGTGAGATCAAGAAAGAAAAAAATTATGAAATATTTTAATTAATATTTTAAGCTTATATTTTAAGCTTACAAATAGATTAAAAAAATATGTTTGTATATATTGAAATATGAGTGAACTAATTGTCTAAAGGTTTATAATTCAAGGTAATAATATTAAAGAAATTTATAACTCTTTTTCTCTTAAGTGTATAAAATTAAGTGCAGATAATCATAATTACAATTACATTTTGTTAATTATGATTTCAATTTTTATTTTATTATATACTTATTTGAAAAATTGTAAATTGGTTGAATTTAATAATAATAACTTAAATGAAATCAACCATTACAAAAGTTATCGCACCGCAACTAAAAATTATTTGAAAAACAAAAATAAACAAGGGATAGAAACACCAAAATCTAAATAAAAAGGTATGAATTAAAGACACCATAAAGGTTAATTATAATTAGATTTTAAAATAATATTTTATATTTTCTTTTCTTTGTTTTTAAATGGAAAATAAATGATGCATTGTACTTTAACAATAAATAAATATTTAATTATAATAAACAAAAATTTTCATAATAATCATAATTATTTTTTGTTTACAATCAAAAATTTTTAATAATCCCACTATATCACACTATAAAACAAAATGCTACAAAAAATAATAGCCATTAATAAATTTTATTAAAAAAAAAATAATTATTTTTTCTTCTTTTTTTTTTACATAATAACTAAACTTTCAGCTTTTTAAAAGAAAAAATTACAACGATTACGACAAATATTTTTCATGCTAAAATTTATTTATTTTCTTTTCTTTTTCTTCTTTACATTTGTAATAATTTAACTAGGTTATAAGTTTGCAAAAATCATCTATTCACACTTAAATAGACAAAAATATGTATACAAATTTTGTTAAAAACAAAAACTAAAATCACCTTAATTTTTATAAGCTTTTTTAACACCACGAATCGTATAAAATAAAATTTGAATTGCATACGACACGTTGTTAATACCGCAAGATCATGTAAAATACTAAAACTATAAATATAATTTTCTTATAATGCAACTTAAAAAGTTTTCAATTTAAATTTCAAAAAGTTTTTCCCCAAAAAATTCCAAAGTTAAATTGGTAAATGGTAAAGTTACCGGTATTTTTAATATGGAAAAATGGTTAATATAAAATGGAAAATTGAGAAAATAAAAAAAAAGACATATTTACTCACATTGCAAATTGCAATTATTATTATTTACTATGTAGTATGTATAATGTACATAGTAAATAATAATAATACTCTCTATATTTATTCCTCTCCCAAAAATGCTCATATTTCTAATAACATACTTGTGTTTAATACATTAAATTGCATAAGTCTCTCAATTCTCCAGAATACTCTCCATAATACGAGTACAATAATAATAAATAATTATGTACGGATATTATGCAATATATAAACTTACAATTTATTGAGCACTTTTTTATTTGAGTAATTTTTTTTTTTATTTAGGTTTGCATGGAAAAAGAACTCAAAATTATAATTGCATCATTACTCTATAGTAAGTCGAATGTAAGAGTGAAACAAATTCACTCATGTTGCCTAATAATGATCATTTTTGAGCATATATAATTGTGTTTAAAATTATGTGGATATGTAAATGTTGAAGTACGAGCAATTTTAAAAAATATTCAGTAAGTATATTCCTAACAATGCGCATTATAACTATAAAATTATACAATATATATTCGTATATACTCAAATTCGGAGTCATTAGAATAAAATTAATTATTTTGAATTTAAATTGTATAATTTCAGAATAGTTACGGTAGGATCGTCACCTACTTACTAAAATTCAATGACGCAAGAAACTAGTTTATGGTTATCTACTCTACGTTATCTTATACAAACTCTAAGCTCTTCCCAGAAGCGAAGTAGTATAAAAAAAATTTTTGAACAGTACGTGCTGGTGACAATATGGCAGGTGTATCAATAAAAAAAAATATTTCGTTTATGGCGGCTGTTATTATGTTATTACAGAGAATATAAAATAAATTCTTCAAAATTGATTGAAATCAATACTTGTGGTAAAAACCCCCCAATTATATCACAACTACTGATTTCAATAAGTTTTCAAGAATTTATCTTATTTTAATATTATGTAATTCTGTTATTAAAGTTATTAATTAAAAAATCAATGTTGCCAAAAAAATTTTATGTATGGTAGATATCAGATATATAGCAAAAGAGAATTGAGAAGACATAAAACTAGCAAAGGGGTTATTTTTAATATTCTTTACAATGTTATCTTATTTTATGCAATATGAAAAGTAAAAGACGAGGGCAGCAAGGACAGCAGGGCCTTATTGCATTAACAACTTTTTACCTTTTGTTCAATCAATTAATTAAAAATTTGCAAAGATTCTGTTGCACCAAGAGTCAAAATTGTATGTAAAAAATTTTATTACAAATGTAAATTTGTAGAAATGCAATATAATAAAATCAAGCTTTCATATTATTATAATTTTTAGGTGTACGTATACATATATATAAATTAAGCTAATAAAATTCAATATTTCAAAATTATTTCGTGTTATGTTTTTCAAAATATTAAATTTTCATAAATTAAAATATTTATAAATTAAAATATTCATTGTTATAACGAAGATTAATTAATACATTTAAATTATGCATAAATGCATGTGAACAAGAAATTTCTTAATTTTTATTTTTTAATTTGAAATTATTTAATAAGTGTGTTGAATTTTTTATAATTGAATATAAAATTTCTATTGATGACTTTTTTTTTCTATTTGAATATTATATAATTTATTTAATCTAATCAGTCCAGAAAGCTATTAACCTTCAAAAAATTTAATATCACTTGTATAACTTGAATTACTTTTATATATATAAAGAAAAAATCAAAATAAAATATTTTTTTACTATAAATGTTTTAAATTTTCCATTATACCCACATTCGCCGGTAAAACTATCTATTTCATTTGCAATCGAAAATTTAATATGCATATCAAATTTTTATAAATAATATGGTAATAACAAAATGTGATAAAATTGAAAAACAAAGAAAAAAAAACTTTGACATAAATATTTGACGCAAATATATATCAATTATATATATGTGTATATCACATATGTATATGATTTTTATATTGTTATTCAAACGTGTTCGGAAAAATATTTTGGGAAGGTATGAATTAAAATGATTTTTCTTTGACACAAAATGTATAAGAAGACTTTATTTTCAAGATCTTTATCTTAGCAAAATAAGATTGCAAATAAGTTTTTGCAAACCAGATTTTAGTTTTAAATTTAGATTTTATGATTTTCTTTTATGTTTATACTTCAATGTTTAAAAAATTGCAGCAAACAATATTTAATTGCCGTTAAAATTAAATATCGCCCAAACAATGTATATAATATGTATATATACCTAATGTTTACACATATTTTTATAATTTCGGATTGTATAATGCTAATAATTTTGAATAATTTAAAAATTTTTAAATGTTATTACATACATACCATATCACTTTTAGTTGAATTTTTTTTTTATTTCATGCCATACTCAAACGGGGATAGTTGCAGTATTGCGATAAGTAAACGCTACAAGCAGACGTCCACATAGATACATCAAATTTTCTGTAATTTATTTTTTTAAATTCCAAATATTCTTTATTATATTTTTAATATATTTTAAAAATTATTAATGTCATTTGCCTAAAATAAAACAAATTTATTTATTTTGTATAAAATTGTATATTTTGGATAAGTACCTTTTTTTATTTTTACGATGTAATCTTGCTTACAATTCTCACAATCGCTTGAATTTCAATTTTCATGCTTTATTGTACATTATTTTTTCCAAACAATCAAAAAGCGTTCTAAAAAAGATTTCAAACATTTTCTTATTTTTACTTCCGTTTTTCTACTTTTAAATGCTTCCGCTGATATTATACCGTTAATAATGAAAATATATACATATTTATAGTCATATTTGTAGTTGTATTCTTCGGAAATCAGAATAATATAATAAATGCATAAACAATAATAGATTCTTCATTTACAAGTGACAATAAAAGCCTACTAAAAATTAATATTGTAATAGAATTCATAAAAATTCTGACAGTATTCCAATTGGAGATTCAAATACAGCGCCACTACGATCGCTTTTAGAAAAAATTTTTGTAAACATTTTAGAAAACAAAGTAATGGTAAGTTTTCAAAACAAAATAATTTAACATTTTCTTAACTATTAATTTAAAATATTAATAATAATAAAAATTTTTAATTACATTTCATAACATATTTTAAATTTTACAATATATTTTTACATATACTTAATTTTTACTTGTAACATGTAGTTCTACAATATACTTTCAATATATTTATTTAGAAATTGTAGAATATATCGTAGATTAAAATAGGTATTAAAATTTATTTTCCATTTTAATTTTAATGTTATTTTTGACTTGGTTTTTTTTTTAAATTACTTTGATTTATACCAGTACTAGTTACTGCAATAAGTTGTAACAATAGTTTAATATTTTGTAACGTATCAGTAATAAATTGATTTAAGTAAGTTAAGAAAAGTAAAAATACTGCAACAATAATATTAGAACAAGCTTCCTATTTTCCTTTTTTAGAACAAAAAAAAATTAGAACAAAAGAAAGTTAAAACAAAAATTTCATGTATTTTTCAATTGATGAACATTATCAACTCAATTTAAGTAAAAAAATTAAACTACATACAACAAAATATTTTACATTATTTTCAGACTAGTACTTTTAGCTTTCCGTAGTAGAATACATTTTTGACGAATTACCTTCTTTTATTCTATTCTATTACGATATTATCCAAATGTAAACAAAACTTTCGTTAAATTCTTTTTAAATGTATGAACTCTTCGATATATTAATGTCAAATAAAAAACTAAACAAAAAACAGCTGACAAATGACTAATATAAATAAATATTTGACAATGAAATTGTTTACAATTTTGACATTTACTTTATATCCGTAATAAATTATAAGTAAAAAGAAAATTAAATTTTATAGATTATTATTTAATTTTAAAGAAAAAAAAGATGGAAATTGAACTAAAGGAAGAACAAATAACTTTCCCAGAAGAAAAATATGAATGTAAGTTGTTTTCAATGAATTCTAAATAATTATAAATAATTTTTATAATGATGAAATACTAATGATGATTAATCTTTTCACATTTTGCAGATTTGGATCATACTGCTGATGTTCAGTAAGTTGAAATTTTTTTTTTCATTAAAAAAACTATTGTACAATGATTTATTTATTAATTTTAGATTACATGCATGGGGGGATACACTTAAAGAGGCTTTTGAGCAATGTGGTATGGCAATGTTTGCATATATGACAGATTTACGTTATGTTACAATTAGAAATTGCTTTAAAATAGAAGCAAATGGTGATGATTTAGAAAATTTATTATTTCATTTCTTAGACGAATTGTTATTTTTATTTTCTGCTGAACCATATCTAATTTGCAAGAAAGTAGATATAACTAAATTTGATATAGAAAATTTTCAAATAGAATGTTTATGTTATGGAGAAGAATTTGAAATTGGTAAACATCCACAAGGTACTGAAGTTAAAGCAATAACATATTCAGCAATGCAAATACATCAACAGCCAGAAAAAAATTATTATGAAGTATTTGTTATTATCGACATTTAATGCAAAATAATATGAACACGCATATTGAATTTTTGGACTAAAGTACCTAACTATCTACTTTGTGTATTTTGTTTTTATTATAAATGATATATGTTTAATATTGCGAAAGAAAGCAATAAAAGTGACTAAATTTTTAAAAAAAAAATTCCATATTTTTGAAAATAAAATATGATAAACTAAACTTGATAAGAATTAAATATTTTTGATAAAATGACAATGCAGAGGAATAATACTAAATAAAAATTTTATTAGGTGCATTATCTAATAAAAGGAGTAAATTGCAAATTTCAAGTAAGTTTTTATTGAAGAAAAGTTTGTTTTATAAAATCGTGAAATTTAAGACAGGTTGTAAAGAAAATTCATCGTATAGTTCAGGTTTTCAAAGTACATAACAAAAATTTTTATTTATTTTTTCATTTTCAATAGTTTGGTTAAAGTAGTGAAATGCACGTGTATTATCCGATTACAATCAAAAACCCGATATTTTATTTATTGCAAGTAATATAAAAAACATTCAGTAATTTTATCTTTTTAATTTGATTCAGTTTATAGACGGAAATTTATTGATATATGTCAATAAAAAAATGATTCTAGTAAAATAACCTCAAAACATGTTAAAGAAAAAATAATTGCAAATTGCAAATACGTGGTAATAGTCGAACTAAAATGGCTGATTTGTAAAAATTTTTTTTAAAAAATAAAATTAAAACAAGTGTTTAATCCAATCTATCATAGTGAATATACAAAAATCGTGTGAAAATAATCTAGAACACATTAAAACTGATCAATTAAACATTCTTAAATCCAAATAAGTGTAAAACTACTCAAGGTTATTTGGTGTCTTATAATTTGCTACAGTCCGTAAGTTTTTATAAATCTAAACTTATGAATTTATATTTTGTCGTTTTGTGAAACTCCTAAAAGAGTATTTAAAATAATTTTCATCTTACAATTGAAGTGTGCCTCGACGAGAGAAAGTTTTTTTTTATTTTTGGAATCCTATTTCTTCCATATTGCTGATTTGAGTTTTATTTTTATTAGAAAATTTCATTGGATATGTGCGAATTATTATTAGAAAATTTCATTTTATATCTTATGCTATAATTCTTAATGGATATCTTATGTTTTAAATAGTGATTCAATGTTTCAATTTTTAACACTAACCACTCCAATAGACCCAATCAGCTTGAGGAAATATTTTTTTTGAGCAATTATAAGCTTGAAGCAGAAAATTGGAAACTGCATTGATAATTCCGTGTTGGGGAGTTACAAAAAACTGGGTGTATACCGTGCAACTTAAGAAAAGCTCCATAAACTCCTGCTTCGCATTTTTTATACATGTAGCATGTAGTGGATTCATTTTTATGAACAATATGATTTCATGTAAAACTGAGTTGCATTGATTTTAGTGAGAAGATATATCTGACGTTAAAAATATAATCCAAAATTTCTTTATATGGTATAACAGCAACCTCTTTTTGGATCTAATAAAATGTAACTGGGTGTGAAAAATATAATTAACCTAAAAATTTTAACCACGCGAATATTGAAAATTGCGCATTGCATTTTATCACCGATGAAAATTTTTTATCAAAATCTACTAGATTATGAAATTTTTGTTTTGAAACACAAATTACTTATAAGTGGGTATCTACCTACTGGCACATACCTATTTACATTTGTAAAGTACATAATAGGTAGACCGCACTTGTTCTATCAATTAGTTTATAAATTATTACTCAGAAAATTTTTGAGGGCTTCAAGTTACCTACAAAAGATGATTTCTATCCTAAAGTAGTGCGTAATGAGAAGCTCATTGAATCTAAATGAAGCTCGTGATTTTTTAAAATAAAAATCTTGGTCCTGAATTCTTTTATACAGCAAGTATTTAAAAAAAAGAAGGGAAATGGTAATTTACAATTTTTTTTTAAAAGTCTGGAATACATATTAAAAAGTGTGTCGTCTAAGCGTAGTTCTCTAACTATATTTTTCATAATTTATATCAGTTACATAAGTAACTAAAGCTTTTTTAAAAATTATTGTTAATCTCAGTTTAGATATTAAGAATTCACATTACGGGTCACTTATTTCATTACTTAATTAGATAAATATAAAGAAGCTCCAGCGTCAACTTATGTTTCCTTCTACAAGAACTCATAATATTTCAAATATTAAGCGTTTCGTTTAATATTAATGGGAGTATGTTAAATTTTTATATAAAAAATTATTTGTCATTTCAAACTTACATGTTATAATTATAAAAGTTAATAAAAAAAAATCCGCAAAACATACCCACATTAAATTAAATTAATTTTGAATGTAGGTATTTGATCATGTTCTCTATAGTTTCTATTTCGAAAAGAATTAATTTTAATAATTAATAAAAATAATTTTCCTAAAATAAATTTGATTTATGAACATAAGATTTGTACATTCTTTATAACACTTTTTGTATGTCTCAATAATTTCTCACTCGATTATCTAAGAAAATAATCGTTTCCCTGCCCTCGCAGTAACATAAAAAAGGAGCCATTTTATAAGTACCTATTTAAAAATCTCATTGAATTTTTTTCATTTTTAAATTTTAAATTTTAATTCTTCATTTTAGAAAATTAATCTCAAAAACCGAATCGAAAATTTTCCATTATCAGCATTTTAAGTTGAGAAAGAAAAGCAAAAAAAATGGGCAACAAAAGAAATATTTAAAAAGAAAAAAAAAAACTAACTCAGCAGCAAGTCATTTGGTACACTAGACAAAAATTTATTATTCCAAGAATTCAAATTCTAAATTTAGCAAAAAAGTAAAAAAGGCAAACCAAAAACAGCATCATGTACATATTTTTTTTTCTTATTTTAATTTCAAAATCACAATGAAAAAGGATTTTCGTTCCAATGTGTGTACTTACATAAGTGTCTACTATTCTTTTAGTTGCACAATATTCATAATTAAGTGCAGTACACATAAATTTTTAATTTATACAATTACATGTGTCCGTAAATATGTGCATGAACACATAAATACGCGCATATTTATGTACACATGTTCATATATATGTATGTACATTTCTACATAATTTTTAATTGCATTTTACAAATAGGTTACCATGGAATCAAGAAAATAGTTGTATATTTCTGTAGGGTACTGTAGACAGAAATTTTTTTCTTCATCTTATTATTTTTGCTCTTCTTCGTCAATTTACTTGCATAAGTCACATAAAGTCACAAAAAGTAGAAAAAAAAATAAAATAAAATTCACAGACTGCATTTCTACTTCAATCTACAATTCTACACAAAGTCATCTCTCCTCACGTCACCTCTCGTCTTCTCTTAAATCCCTGAAACATTGTATCCTACATATGTATGTACGTATGCATATATATTCTATATTATTTGCATACACACTCTACTTACATTTAAGTATGTATGTATACATTTATATTTCTCCTGTGTAGAACCTTTAGTGAATTCTCACGCCTAAAAATTATTTTGAGAGTTTTAAATTTTTTTTTTTGTTTTTATTATTTTTTTCTTTTTGTTACTTACATTTTGAATCGAAATTTCAATTTTTTTTTTTTTAAAGAATCATTCTTGCCAAAAAAAAATCTTAAGAACCAAAAAAAAGGAAAAAAAAATTAAAGGTCAAAAAAGGATAATATCCGTATAAACAAACCCTAATATGCACATGCATTTATAATGTGACATACTTACACATTATTATTTTAGCTCATATACATACATACACATAATTTGTATAGTTCCATGTATAAATTACAGATATGTGAAGAATTGCCAAAATGAAAGAAGTGAATATTTGAAACAATAGGCAAAAAAAAAAGTATAAAAGCAGAGCAAAAGTAAGAAAAAAAATGGAACTTACAAAAAAAAAAATATAAAGTTCACTTACTTCAGTGAATCCTTAAAGAATACAACTGTAAGTAATATAACATACATTCAACTATTTATATATGTATATATGTACGTACATTTATTCAAAATATAGATATGGATTTATAATTACTTACTTCATAAAAATGAAATCAAAAAGGAAAAAATAATAAAAAAAAACTGATCCTTTTTTATGCAATCATGCGTTTTTTTTTTTCCTTTTTCTTGTGTTAAAAAAAAATCCTTTTCATGATGAATTTCTTTCTGATTTTACTCTTCTGTTTCTTATTTTGCTTTTCCTTCCTTATTCACTGTACACATAAATTAGTAAAAATTTTTAATGCTTGCTAATATACAAAATTACAGTAATTTTAGAAAATAAATTACAAAATATAGAGTGTGATTCCTTAAATTAAATAAATTTTATAAATGTGTTAAATTTTCAATTTTTTTTTTTGAAATGCTATCCCTAATATTTTAACTCGTAAACATTGAAAATAATATTTATTTTAAGAAAATCACTACTTAGTTGATATTAACTAGATTTGCATTTCGGTTTATTAAAGGCAGCCTATATGCTTATGTTAAAATAATTTTCATTGTCTACATGTAAGAATTCGTTTCTCCAAATTCTATAAGAAAAAATTAAAATCAATTTATGGATCCTAATAATTTTAAATTTACTAAAAGTTAGATATGCTTCAATAAAATTTCATAATTTGTTAATTAAATTTTTGGGAAAGTAATTATCAAATTATCCAATTGCATTTTTAAAATTCTCACTTTCTTCTAGTTTTAGTTCTCAAAAATATTTAAAAATATGTTAAATAAATCGATTAATTAAAGAAATGTAGAATATTTCTAACATAATTTATTATTTTTAATTTAAATTAAATTTTAAAATTGTAAAACTGCAATTTAAATGAAATATACTTACATATAATTTTGACTAAACTTCATTCATATTTTATTTTAGTTTCTTGTAACACAGGAAAATGCCTATATTCGGCTATAATATTGTGATCCATTTAGATTTAAATATTTTAAAATTAAAATTCATAAATTTTGATTTAAATCTTTACTTATTTACGAATGTCCTTTATTCTTAATAAACACTGTACATTATAATATGTGCATTAAAATTTTATATATGCATTACAAATTTTTTATTGTCGCGCCACTATGAGTATAAATAGTATGTGTAAGTGCCACATGTATTATAATAAAACTTCCTTTAATTCTCTTCCTTCTTGTACATACATATAGAACAATAAACAACAAGAAAAAATGTTCAGAACAATTAGCAGACGAAATTGAGAACAAAAAAAAGTT